ATAAACATTAAAAAAAGTTAATATATTGAAAATTTACATTAATACAAATTTATTAATATTTTATACATAATATTTTTATTATATATATTATTAGAAAATCGTAGTCAAAGTAAGGTGTGTGAATAGTGCAGAAATTCCAATGTTACAACTTTTATGGAATGGAGGAAGTATAATTTATCATCTAGACTTTGACTGAGACTCATGTTCAAAGACTAGGGAAAAAACTTAATACCCGGAGTAATTTTTATTTTTAACCTAAAGTGCAAAAGTATACATTACCGATTTAAAAATATATTATAAGGTACATTAACATGTAATTTTTATATACGGATATTTATATAATTATGTTTAACATTTGCTTACTCCTGTAACTTTCGACTTTAATCCCTTGCAAATGTTGTCATGTAACTAATACGGAATAAATCTTTGCAATTTCAGGACTTTTCCACCGGAAAGTATACTTTGCGGTAGAAAAATTTGATGCCGGTGACATCTTTTCAGGTATACTACCGTCAGAAAGTGTACTTTTCAGTGGAAAGGTCCTTAAATCGCAAATATTAATTAGTTACATGACTGAATTTGTAAGTAATTAAAGTTGCGAGACTAATAATGAAAACGACCGAAAGTTATGAGACAAAAATTGCAAATTTCCCTAGTTAAAATGTTTTTTTTGCTGACTTTTCATTACGTCGGTTATTTATCTGAGTAAATTAGTTAATTAATGATATTGGAAAGCGTTAATTACTTCATTGAAGATGATTTTAATTTGGACTTTGACTAAATTAACTAATTAATACGGAGTACTTAATTACACCAAAAGCTCATCAGTATTGTGTCCTAATCCATAGAATGAGAAATTGTGAGAATTTAATTTTTCTACTCATACATATACACCAATAAATGCAATGTAAATTATAATCTCCGTACAGTTAAATTATAGTACTTACTCTTTGTAACTTATTAATAATAAGTTATTATTATGATTGCGGTAACGGCTTTGGTTCCTACTTCTAGCTTGAGTTTAAAAGTACAGTTTATTAAAACCATCCAGCAAGAGAGGAAAATATAGTAACAAATGTCTCTTTCAAAAGAAAGTACGGAATAGTAAGAAATACAAATAATGATTTGTTAGTTAAGCTAGGTGCCATAAAACGTTGATAATATTCATACGTGGAGGCTGATCTTACTTAATTTTTTAGTTAAGTATGTTTGGCACAACTATCTGAAAAGATACTTTTGTGAGCATTTTAAAAACTATTAGCTTTTAGTGATTGAAAAGATCTTAAAAAAAAGGTGGTAGTTGTTTGGTAAAACGTTATCTGTTTGATTTAGTTTGGTTTGACATACAAGCTGTTAGGACTAATTAATACTAAAAGTCACAATCTTTTTTCAGATGCTACTATCCGTAGCATCTCAAAAAAGATCTTTTAATTTTTGAAAAGCTCTTAAAAATTGTCATGACAAACATATAACTAGAAGTATTTAGAGGCTTTTTGAACAATACAAAAGCTAGAAGACAGAGTCTTATACTTGCCAAATATAGCCTTAGGCTTGGGATACAATTTAAACATATATATTAGATCATATCAAAACAAGACTTATAAAATAGAAAAATACAAATGATTAAGAACCTTAAGTTCAATCCAGACTTGTTGTGATCAAATAGATCGATTAATCCAAACTTAAACAAATAATTAAATCAGAAAATTTCGATCCATGTGTAAATATCTTTAAAAATAAGTTCCTTTAAGTAGTAATTGATGTGATAATTACTCGATTTAATTTTGGCTTTAGATTATGATATAACTTGTGATCATAACAAATTGTGATGGACCCTCTAGGATTACATCCTGTTTATAAAAGGAAAGATCTGCCGAGCCAAAGCTGACGTGGAAAATGTTGAAATTCAAGTTTTTTTAATTATTAGCTAGTCCAGATAAATATGTAATGCTAAGTGTATATAGTAGTTGAAGACAGTGACGGATATTTTTCTTGGTAAAGACTTTATACTCCCTCCGTTCCCAAAAATACTTCCCACTTTCTTTTTTGGGTTGTTCCCAAAAATACTTCCCACTTTCCCATTTTGGACAATTTGTGTGGCTCACATTCATTTTACCTTTTTCTTACACAATCACAACCATACATTTCCACTTTATTCCACTTTCTTAATAAGCGTGCCAAGTCAAACCGGGAAGAATTTTTAGGAACAAAGGGAGTATTATTCTTTCCCAACTTTCCTTTTTTGGATGTCCCATTAACTTTGCCAATTTCCACTTTAAGTAAAGAATTTGTGGTTTCAGTTAATTCTCTCTCCTCTACACAAACCTCAATCACACAGTTTTTACTTTATTAATCATCGTATCGATCAAACTTGTGAAATTTATTAGGGAAGGAGGGAGTATTTCCGATACTCCGTATTAATTTTTTTGTGTGCTAGTTGAGCTAACTTAACTCCCCTCACCTAGCATTTTCTAGTGGCTACTATTTCTTATATTCATTCATCTATCAAAGGTAATAAAACCATTCACAAGGTTTCAAACATTTCCCACCATTCATTTTGTTTGATCATAAACTACGTCTTTTTATCAAATACTTCGTCTATCATAAGATATACGGAGCACTAGAGTAACCTAACATGATTGAAAGTTTTTGTGTATTTTTGTTTATAACCGTCGATGACTGACCTGATTTGATCTTATCTCGTTTGATTTGTGACTCAAATAAGTTCAATAAAAACATCATTAATATACTCGCATAGTATTAAATCGGACAATATTGAACTAAATCTAAATATGCTACACGAAGTTTTAAGAGACAAAGACTAGATGGAAACAATAAAAACAAATACATCCTCAATAATAAATGTCATTTTTGTAGGATTTCTTGTAAAGATATGAAGTCCAATTACAACTTTTTGCAACTCTGTTACAAAATGTTGTGAAATACAATTTCTAATAATAGATCTTTTACATGAAAATCAATTACAAATGATAGATTTGATCGTTTCACATATAGTCCAAAATAAACCATTGATTTCACATCTATATCAACTACGTCATATGTTCTTTTTACTCGTATCTTATAGCATCTCAATAACACTTCATCTAATATAATACTATTCTCTAAAAATAGTTTCTGTTTTTAGAACATTATCCTAAAAATAAGAACATTCATATTCAGGGACGGACCCAGGAAAGTCATTTTGGGGGGGCGAAAATATTTTTGAGGGGTTCAAAATACTTTTTGGAAGAGCAAAAATCATTTTTCGTATATATATACACTAAAAAATATTTGTTGGGGGGCGGTAGCCCCCTGGATCTCTACTACGGTCCGCCCCCGTTCATATTTCATGTTACATGGTTATATTTTTTCTCCCTAATGTGATGTATTTACAATGTATGCTTGCGTCTTTCTACTTTCACAATCACATTTGAACGCCTAAATTAGTCATATCTTACATGAGTCATTTACACTCATATTAATTTCACGTTGTTTCACTCACTATTTAAGTACTTTCCCTGATGTTATTCCAACACAAATGATACGAGCGGACCAGTCATTTGGTAAAATTGAAATTGATTGGATCGGCTGATTTGATTTTAATTTATGAATTTTTCACTAAAGTGGTTGGATTGAGTGATTTTGTTGATTCATAAAAAATACTACATTCATTCTCTTTTAATTGCAACATTGAACTTTTGCACTATTCACATATTCTACTTTGACTATATTTGATTAATTAATGTATTATAAATTAAATTTTTAAAAAATATTGTTAAATTCTTCTCATTCTAAATTTTCAAAACATGATTTTTTTAAATGTTTTACTAATAGGGAATGAATGATATTAAAGGTCAAACTTGTGCGTTGACAAACATGAAATGTTGACTGTTGCAATTACAAGGGAACATAGGAAGTATTTAAACTTAGTACTCCGTATTAATTAGATATTAACAAAGAATGGTTTTAACTAAATTGTTTTCTAACACAGACCAGACTTATACAGACAAATCAAATTAGATCAGACAATACATCGATAATTATTAAATACGTATAATAAACATTTATTTTTAGATCAAATTAGACAAATTCGGACGAGACCAAACTAAATTTAAAGAAACATTGATAGTTCAGATCTCAGTAGCCTACCGAACAAAGGCGACGTATATTGAAATGTTCACCTAAAAAAGATTAATGATGGTACGGTATTATCAAATTAACAAGTTAATCGTGTGATGGAGAGTTGTGCGGAGAAGAGAGAAATGTGTAAGAATGTTGTGAACCATAATTTCTTTACCAAAAAGAGAAAGTGAAAGTTTAATTGGAACAGATGAAAAAGGAAAATGGGAAGATATATAGCCCGTTTGGTTGATTTTGCTGAAATTTATGAGGTTATGGCTGAAGTGGCTGCATTGGCTGATTCTGCTGATACTAGAAAAAAATATTTTTAAAATACATTTTATTACCCCCTCCGGTTCTTATTAAAGTTCCCACTTTCCTTTTTGGGATGTCCCTTATTTAAGTTCACACTTCCATTTTAGGAAACAAAACAACGCAAAACAGTGCCAAACAGTGTCCAAACAGTGCCAAACAGTGCACTCCACAGTAAAGTCAAATTCATTTTCTTAATATGTGTGAAGTCAAACTGGGAACTTTAATAAGAACCGAATGGAGTAATCAAATAAAGAAAAACTTATACGTAAAAATAGCTAAAATGATCATCTATAGTAACTTCAACCAATACAACCAGAAACGTAACTTCAACCTTACTTTTTCGGCTTATTACATAATTCAGCACGTGAAAGTAAAGTTTACGTGTTTGATAAAAAAGTTGAATGATAAGTCTGATAAGGCGAAAATGAGGATTGCCAAACAATCTCATAATAGGAATGAAGGGAGTAATAAAGTTCATTAATTACAACTCATGTGGACCCACATTACTAGTATATGAGCTAATTAAACTTGTTAGCTCTTGTGTGGTAAACATGACTGGCTGAGTATATATTCACTATATATACAGTAATCAACACTCATCATAATCACTAACCCCACTTCCCTCTCTCTCATACCCTCTCCTCCATTTTCTTCATCACTATCCTCCCCTCTTCACTTTCTTACTCAGCTTCACTTGCTCATCCCCTCCACCAGCAAATTCATATGGAATTCTCTCAAGAAATTTCTTTTCTTCAGTATTCACCAGCTTGTACCACTGAGGAAGATGATGACATGGCAGCAAACTGCCTGATCCTGTTAGCACAAAGTGACGGGAGTCCAAACCGGAAACAGGGCACCCGGAAATTCTCAGAAATGGCGGACACCACCGCCTCCGCCGGAGCTCCCAAGGTCGCAGCCGGCGGCGGCGTGTATGTCTACGGATGCAAAACTTGTAACCGCACTTTCCCTTCGTTTCAAGCTCTGGGTGGTCACCGCGCCAGTCACAAGAAGCCAAAGCTGATGGATAATCAGACCGCCTCCCCTGCCTCCGCCACCGTTTTCAAGAAACAGAGTACCCCGCCGCCCCGGCCGCCGCTATCTCTCGCGGAAGCAAGCAACGGCAGCCAAAAGGCCAAGATTCACGAGTGCTCGATTTGCAGCGCGGAATTCTCGTCTGGACAGGCTTTGGGCGGTCACATGAGGAGGCACAGGCCGGTTCCGGCGATCAGCGCCGCTGTGAAGGAGACGGCGGCTGAGGTGTCATCATCCGGAAACGACGGCGGTGGAGATATGAAAACGGGCGTCGGTTTCTCGATTGATCTGAATTTACCGGCCCCACAAGAAGAGGATGAGGAAGCTAATGGTAATAATGGCAACAACAAGTTTGAATTCTCACCCAAGCAACAAAGTCTTGTCTTCTCCGCCCCACCTTTGGTAGACTGTCATTACTAAAGCGGTAAATTGGAGTTTAGCGTCTCATGGAGGATTAATCGAGGTTAATTAATTACTTAGGCGGGACCCACCTTGTGAAAAAATATACTGAAGTATCAAAAAGAGATTAAGCTAGAGTTTTTTTTACCATAGTTATCAAGCAATAAATGTGAATGTATTATTATAAATACTCATATAAAAAATACATACGGAGTATAATATAAATGAGGTCATTGTACGTTATACAAATTAAAGAGAAAGTTTAAGATAAGAGTTATTAGTTTAAATGTTGTTTGTTATGTATTAGTTAATTAATATTCAGAAATAAATGTGAACATATATTCTTTGAGTTGATAAGTGTTTGTTCCAATGTTGATCATCTACTTTTGGTACAAAATAGTTGTTTACACTTTGAGTAAGTGGCTAGTGTTCATCATTCATGACTTGAGTTGCCTTTCATTCACGAAAAGGAAGTGATGAGTGATGAGGCATCTTTTAAGTTCTTATTTTTTACTCCCTCTTTATTAGATGCTTTAGTAAGTTTAATTTTATTATGAGTTATACATGAAAATTGTAGAACTAATGAAATCACTATATATGATGTTTTTAATTGTACGGAATTTTTTAGTGATCCGATCTTTTCTAATAGATGTCTAATTTATGTGTATCTTATAACCATCGAAGTTTGATCTAATCTGTTTAAGTTCAAGTTCGGTATGGTTTCATATTATCTATCATACTCTTATTGAATGACATGTTTACAAAATCATTAAAAAGTCTCTTTGCCAAAAAAATTATATATGAACACAACATAGGAATTTAAAAGTTCTCTGGGTAACCCTTATTTTAAACTTACGAGGCTTATTAGATCAAACACGTAATTATTTCACGAGTTGAATTGTGTAAAAGTAAGTAAGACTTAAGTTACTTTTCTAGATGAATTGACTTAAGTTACATTAGATGATAATTTTAGACTTTTTTATATAATATTTTTCTTTATTTCATTAATAAAATATACTTTTAAGTATATTTTTCTTGATAATTCAACAAATTCATCTCTCCAGATATAATTTAATCATTTTCAACAAATCCAATCTATCCATTTAATTGGAAGTAAGAGTATAATCGGAGGCCGGCGGAAGCAATTTTTTTGTGGGGGAGGAATAATATACGAATATGTGATATATGTGTGGCACACATCATAATGACTTTTCAAAGAAGGAAGGGCTGTGTAAGACTATACAAGTCTGAGTGGAACATACGTAATATATTTAGCGTGTGAATCGAATCCAATATTCAATCTTGTTTGGTGAAGTGAATGTAAATGTTAAGTGATCAAGTATTTTAATTTCATTCAAATAAAAAATCAAAACAAATATGAGAATCATTTTCATCAATTTAAGTAAAGCACTAGTAATTAATAACAATAATAATGATAACATATCATGCGGAGTACTATGTACGCAAGAGTGAGGCTGTATAGAGCTTTCATTTGGATTCATTAGCTAGCTAGTGAATGTCATCTCATATAAATAATTAATATGTAGTAGTGTAATTATATTGTGTCTTATATCGTTAGGTGATTTCATCATAGTCATTTATTTTTATCATGAAACTATCGAGAGTAAATTCTCTAAATAGGAGTAAAAAGGTTTTGAAATTCCAAAATAGGAGTACCATGTTTTTATTCCCTAAACAGGAGTAAATTTCTGCCAAATTTGGCATTATTAGGCTATTAAACATGGCATTTTTTTCCAAACTTGACAGATTACTCTTATTCAAGGAATAAAAAACATGATACTCCTATTTTGGAATTTCAGAACGTTTTTGCTCCTATTTAGGGCAATTTCTAAACTATCAATTATTAGTTAATTAAATACTTTTTGATATAGGGTTGGGTTCTAATAAGAAGACATCTTAACGTGAGAAATGAGAAGCTTCACATTTGCCTTTTCGTGATGCACTTTTGCGCTAATCTGATGCACTTTTTGGGATAGCAGAAAAGTTCTGATTAATTACGGAAATACCACCGCGTCTTGCATCACTTTTTTAATTAATCGTAAATTTTCTGCGATCGCAAAAAATGCATCAAATTAGCGCAAAAATGCATTAGAAAGAGCCAAATGTGACGCTTCTCACTTCTTACGTTAAGATGTCTTCTCATTTGATCCTTATTATATATATATATATATATATATATATATATATATATATATATATATATATATATATATATATATATATATATATAGAATTTCCTGATATTTTTGATCTCATATCCCCATCTCTGAATGCCCCAGAGTAGAACGATCAGTTAGCTGCGAAGTAGAGGTGAATGTACACCCTTGTTCTAAAAATCCCTAAACGTTAGTCATGCGCTTGATGAACGCCTAAGCTAGCACCTAGGTGGCTGATTGGGTCATTTTTGGCCAACTGGATCACTTGGCTGACTAAGCCGATTAGTTCTCTAAAGTTAAGTATGACCAGATCGATTAATCGGTCTGATTAGGTCTATTTATGAGTGGCGTGATTTATGAAGAGGGGTGGGGTGGAAGGTAATTAAGCAGATTGGAATAAGGGAATAGCATGAAAGGAGGGCCGAAAGTATGTGGATTAGGATGATCAATTTGGTATCTTCAAGATTATAACTACTACGTACTAAATACAAAGCTGATCGATATGTAACACAGAAAATGAAGGTATCCCGCATTGTCTGTTTCATTAAATGACAAAAGAACAATTATAGTTTTTTAAATATCCCGTCTATCTATCTATCTCATCTAATGTGAGCTAGCTATACTTAGCTCCTAACGGCCAAGCCCATGCGTATCCGGCCATGCCACCTCTTCATTTTATTTTTTTATTTCTTCTACTAGATTATTTTTCCCCCTTTTTTGGATGTGAACTTGTTATTGTCTAATACGGAGTACTTCCTAATTAGTAATATGTACTTCTCATTTTATACCTCCCCTCCCAAATTCTTTTGCGATTTCACATTAATTAATTTCTTAATGTTATGACTGAACATGTAAGTAACTTATCAAGATCGCTAAATTATACAAAAATACGTATCATTTTCCTTTTATATATTAAGCAATTACATTTGTTCTTCTATGGCCTATCTGCATGACTAATTATTACGCACGAGATTTGACGCATTCGTTAAATCACAGAGGCTAATAAGCAATATCTATACTATCTCCGTCCCTTAAAGTTTGTCCTAGTTTGACTTTTTGAGTCAAACTTATTAAAATTTGATCGCTAATTACTCAAAATTAATAATATTTTATCCCTAAAAAATTAATTTATATGATTCTTTGTAATATGTATTATTCAAATGTCAATATATTATAGACTAATTAATTTAGGGACTATCTGCATGACTAGTTATTACGCATGAGATTTGACGCATTCGTTAAATCACAAGATGGTTCTGCAGAAATATTTTTGACCAACTATTTTTTTTTAGTGATCAATGGCTAGAGGGCGCACCCCCCTATATTTTTTCGTTTTTCTAACTAGTCTAGTCCTAACTAGTCTAGTCTGATAGTTGTCTCTATCTGTGTCTTACGACTATGGAAGTCTAATCTGAACTAACTCGATTTGTTCAAGTCTCATGTGATCTAATCCGATCTAAGACTAAAACTAGTCAAATTTGAAAACATATCACTGTGAGCCGTGAAAGTGGTGGCCAGGGCCCTCCTCATGCACCCACAAAATTAAATAGCATTCCATAACAAAAACTAAATAGCAGACAATTAAGAATATAACCGCCTACAAATTATATTTCCTTATTTATTTGTCTCTTGTGAAAGTGTGATGGCCGGACTACACTTGTGACTCAGCCACCTAATTGCATGCTTAATTAAATCAGTCTTCAACTTCATTTGCTTAACTAACTATTCCCTCTGATCATAATGCGTACCAGAAATATTAGGCGCAATCACACGACATATACGCACTGTGCAGTTGAGTGTATATAATCACCTCTCTTATCTAACTTTAATTAATCACTTAATTACACTTAATGTTGCGTAACATAAGTGAAATCCTGTTTAGGGATACCTTACAAACTGCTTTTTAGCACCCAAACACAAATATTGAACCACCAACATTAACTTGAGCCTAATTTTAACCTAATCACACCCTCTTAATTTTATACGTAGTATATATAATATAATACTTTTATAACGTATGTCAATATGTGTGTGTTTTCATTTTTTTATATCCATAGGAAATAACTAAAACCTCCAGCCTAATTCTCCCCCTACATGGTTATGTTGTACCTTTTTTATGCAAACTTATCACTACTAAAAAATACTACTCGTACGTAATAAGGAGACATTTTGCAATATTTACATACTAATATACGGAGTATGAATAAAGTAAAAATAATTGATAAAAATATGACTTTTTGTGCACAATGATCATGACTAGAGGTGGGCTTTTCAATTTACGGTTCAGTTTTTATCGGTTTCGGTTTGGTTCGATTTGGAATGGATGGAAAGTTTATTCTATTACCAAACAAAAATCATACTCCATACAATTTTTCGGTTTGGTTCGATACGGTTTAGTTTAGTTTGGATTTGTTATTATTTAATAACATATGAAGGTTTTATGGAATTTATTTGTCTTGGTTCGGTTCGATTTAATACGGTTTGAAAGAGATACTGCAAAACTCAAATCAAATTGCATATACTCCCGTTTTGATTTGGTTTAGTTTGGTATGGAATGGTTCAATTTATTTAAACTAAACCTTTATGTCCATCGGCCCTAATCATGATGGTATATTCATAATGATTTTACTTATTACATTTTTATCCATAAATCTTATTTTAACAATTTAGGGGAAAATGCCTAAATTTTAGGTAAGTGCAGTTCGACATATTTCTCATAAGAACATTTGGTCTCTTAAGGGCTCTTCTTAATTACTATAAGCCTAATTACATGATTAAAAGACTGTCAAATTGTGTGAAGTTACATGCCTTTAAGTTTGGTGCATGTATCAAAACATATTAGCCTACATTATAGACGTTTCTTATAATAACATGTAATAAGGGTCAAATTGGACACTATGGTTGTATGAGAATCTCATATTGAACATTAAGGTTTCAAATGGATCAAATTGGACACTATGGTTACTTGTGTGTCTCATGTAGGACACTAAAATTTCAAATTGATCAAATTTTACGTTTTTCTAATTATTTTCGGACACCCATCAAAGATTTTCACCTTGGTAAAGATATAAGTATTCATTTTTCTCTTGGTTTCATGTACCTAAAAAATAAAAATAACTTAATTTGTGTATTTAGATTTAGAATATATAATTAAATGCTCCAATTAAGAAAATCTATTAT